AAGACATTCCAAGGAGCAGGGCAGAAGGAGATGAAAGAGGCAATTTGATGTAGTAGAAACCAGGAAATCTTCTGTGAGGGACTGGTGGTAGAAACCAGGCTGTGGGATTTCCAGCTCAGACAGGGTGACAGGACATGTAAGCTGAAGATGTACTGAGGGGGTAGAAGATGCCAGATGAGGAGAGCAACCAGCCCTAAAGATGCTAGATGGGGAGAGCAACCAGCCCTGACCCTAAATCAAAGAAACGGTGCTGCTGTGAAGGACAGGCTGGCTTACAAGACTGCTTGGAGAGCACAACCTAAATGACTCAGCCCCCAGTTCAGCCAGGCGGTAGAAGGAGATAGCCAGGCTGTGACCCACCACAAGACTCTGCTGGATGACACAGGGGTCAATCCAGCATGTGGGGGTCATCCCTCTACCTGGGGTGTCTTGGTGCTGGGAGATGCCACCAGAACTTCCTGGGAGCGTGGTGCCAGGCTGGAGGTGGCAGAGGCGTGGACATCAGGTTTTGCTCCGCAGCCTCAACCAGTTCAGCTCTGGAGACCCATCCAGTGCCGCTCTGGTTATGCGGGTGCAGCTGGGCGCTGCTTGGGCACACAGGAGGAATTAGTTGTTTTAAAGCCAGCATCAGGGTTTCTGTCTGGCAGCAGCAGAACGCACTAGACCCTCCAGCTAGAAAAAGTTCCTGCAGAGTTTCTGCTGGATCAGTGCCCTCACGAGTTGATTCAGCGGCTGAACTTTATTTTCAGGCAGTTTTTTTTCTTCAGCCTGAGATTAAATCATCACCTTCGCTTTCAGCTCATTTCAGGGTTGTAAAATTAAGACCACTGCAAAGTGAAAGTGTTTCAGAAAAGGATACTTTGTTCCAAAAAAGAGGTATATGGTTTTCCATATGCCAGAAATGCTTCAAATCTTTCTTTTTCCCCCATCTGAAATGACTGTCAGAGCTGTAATGGCACTTGCCACCCCTCTCCACCACCTCTGTTTAACAGTGATCTTCTCTCTTCACTAGGAGTGTGATCTAGGGAGATTAATATTTGGAATGAAACTCACCCCTTTTCCTGAGGCTGAGGAATGGGCTCAATTCCAAGCCCTGTCCCCAGGGACTGCGGTGCTTGCCATGCTGGGGAGCTTGCAGGGAAGTCCTAGAGAGGATGTCCAGGCAGGAATCATGTCATGGGGATCTGAGCTGCCTTGCTTCTGGACTGAGGGAGTGGATGCTCAGTGAGGGGAGGACATGAGCTCTGCCAGGGCGTGGGAGCTGGTTGAGGCACGTCTTGGTGGCTGAGTCAGCTCTCCTGCCCTCCTTACACTCCCTTCCAGTGCCACAGTGGGAATTATGCTATTCGTGCTCGCCCATGATCCCCACCTTGAGCACAGCAAAGCCTGAGATCAGCCCCTCTTTAACCCCAGCTTTACTTTTCCTGGCAGCCATCCAGTTCACGGGGGACTGGGAGACTGGCTGGGTGAAGGCAAACACCTCCTACAAGTCCTTCAGCCATGCCCTGGTGAACGCGGACATTGGGCTGCATGTTGGGTTGGCAGGGGTGAACGTCACGCTCAGGGGTGAGTCTGATGTCCCCACCCGCAGCTCTGGAGTGGCCTTTGTCCCAGGAGGTCTCCACGTGCTCTGTGCGTGGTCTTGGTCGGCTGGAGGCTCCTGGGACCCTGGCTGTCCCTGGGGTGCCCGTGCTCCTGGTTGGCAGTGCCCAAGCTGCTGGGACACAGCAGGACCTCAGTCTTCTCCCTCCGGCAGGAAACCCAGTGAATCAGATCAATGAGACCATCGACTACCAAGAGCACTTTGCCTGGAGCTGGCAGACCACGCCCGCAGCTACAGGGAAGGTCTGGAGAAGGGGCTGCCCAGCCCCATCCTCTACGTGGCAGAGAAGTTCACCACACAGAGCCCCGGCGGGGTGCACAGGCAGTACCGCATCTCCGGTCACTACGCATCGGCCACTCTCTGGTGAGCCTTTCTCTCCTGGTGCAGGCAAGGGACATGCAAAGATGTGGGAAAGGCTCTGCAGCTTTGTCCTTAGGCTTCTGAGATGGATGGTGATTGCATGCTGCCAGGAGGAAAGTCATGTGCCTGGAGGGGTCTCTGGTCAAACCGGCGACCCTGTAGGCACCTTGAGGGGGAGCAAGGAGGTCCTGGTTCTGGCTGCTGATGAACTCCCCGAGGGCTGGGCACAGGAGAGAGAACCATGGTGCAGATCCTTGCTGTGATGTGGTGATGATGGCAGGGGTCCATCCCCATGGAGGAAGTTGGAACTTCAGGGGCCCAGAGAGGCCCATAGGCATGTGCGGAACTCTCTCATCCTCGTCTGTGAGAGTATTTAATGTCTGGAGATGGGACCAGATGAGGAAAATCTGATCATGCTGTTATTGGAGGGCCAACCTTGACTCTTTAGCAGTATCTGCTGGGCTGCAACATGTTGGGCTGTGGGACAGCTGGTCCACAGCTGTCAGATCATCACCTCTACCAAGGTAGAGGGCAAGGGCCAGTGCAGTGCTGTTCCCCCTGTTCTGGGTTTGACAGCAGGGATACAGAAGCTAGGAAAGGGGCCTGGCAATACCATGGAGCAAGAGCTCCTGGCCCATAGCTGAAGGCTTCCCATCACAGAGCTCCTCAGCCAAGTCCAGAGCTACTGCAAGTGACTTATGCCTGCTTCTGCAATTGTCTCAAACCTGTGTGCTGCTCTCTGGGTCTGCACTGCCCCACATGTGGAAGGATAGGGTGCTGAGATGGTCTAGATACATTGAGTGGGCTGCCATGCTCTCCTTGAGGCTGGTATGGTCTGTGAGTTGAGCAATGGGAAGAGGAAATCCAGGCTTCTGCCTTCTGAGTGTAGCAGTGTGAGCATTGCACAGCTGCTTGCTCAGCCTGGGAAACTAGGGATTGCTCCAACCTGCTCACAGAGCTGCTTAGCCTCATACGATGCAACCTGGAGCCCAGATTCCTCTTCCCACATGGAAAACCTCACATAGAGCATCCTAGTCCATGGCACTATAACAACTCATCCGTTGGTTTTCTTTTGTCTCCAGGGTGGCCTTTTGCACTTGGCTCATCTCCAACATGCTCTTCTCCATGCCTGTCCTAGTCTATGGAGGCTACATGCTTCTGGTCACAGGGGCCTTCATGATCTTCTCGTTGCTCTCGTTCTCCACTGTGAGGAACTCCCCGATGTGCCAAATCCAGTTTGGGACCGCAACCCTGCGCACAGACTATGGGGGATCTTTCTGGCTCACGCTAGCAGTTGGTAAGGACACCAAGCTACATCAGGGCACACCAAGCTGTCCCTCTGGGTGTGCAAGAATCCCAGTGCTTTCCCCCCAGAAATGGAGGTGAGAGAGCGTGGGGAGTGCAGCCCACCAGAGTCCCAGCCTATGACTTGGAAAAACAGATCCTGGCACAGATGTGGAGAGGGCTGGCAGAAGGGGCAACGCCATCCCCATCTCGTGTGGTGGAGGGATTTTCTTTTAGACCCTGAGATGCAGTAATGAAAGGAGGTGGGGATCACTTGCCTGGGTTTTAAGATGCTCAGCACAGCATCTGAAGCCATCTCATAGAGTAGAAGGTCATCTTTCGTAAGAGAAGGCATGGTTTCCTGGCAGGGGGCCATCAGGGGAGGGGTGTGGGGTGGGACGTGTGCTGACGTTTATAGGAACGCTCTCAGAAAGCACGTTGTCTTCCAGGCTTGCTCTGTTTTGTGGCTGGGATCACTGTTGTTGCACTGCACTACTTCAACCTGGACCTGCTGAAAACATTCTTTGATCTCCGTGAGGACAATGCAGAGGAGTACCAGGAAATGACTGAAGTCTATGTCAATCCTCATTTTGTGAACAAAGGACTCTCTCTTCCTCAGCCCTCCAAACTCAACCCCAACAGCATCTAGAAGAAAGTTTTTTCCCACTCCTTCCCTGAAGGTGTACTCGAAGGGACAGACCACAAACCCTCTCAATGTCCCCAGAGACCCATTTCCACATCCAACTGCCTTTGGCAAGTGCATGAGCCCACGCTGGGATGGGTTCTTGCTGAGAAGTACCTTCGCAGACTATCTCCCTGACCTCTGGAAAAGGGCAGGCTTTGCAGAGAGCTGTCAGGCTGCCATCAGAGCAGCTCACAGCTCCAGTGACTTGAGCTGCACAGTCACCTGTGGATCTCTGCCCCAGAGAAATGCCCTTCCTGCTCCGTGCCCTGGCACAGCTTGGTGTGGCGAGTCTCCGATGTCCAGTTCCCACACCAGAAACTGAGCTCACTGGTGAGATTTCTCATGGGGAGCATGCATGAGTCCAAAACCCAGTGATTAAATATGCTCATTCCTTTCCCAAGCACCGATGTTGAGTGCAGACCTTTAAATGTATGATGGAGTTTGCTGGGGGGGAGGGCATGTGGTGATGTGATTATTTTCAATTTCAAACTTGGGCTTTATTAGATAAGACTTGTAGCCTGGTGTGGCCAAAAAAGATGTCACAAGAAAGGAAGGAGACACACACCCCCACCTCCATCCAGCTAGAGCACACTTGGGCTGGCTGGGATCACTACAAAACACAAACCTGAGTCCAGGAGTCAGACCCAGCCAAGAGAAGAAGTGAAGTGCATCAAGTTGCATTATAACAAGCAGAAGATGGGTTCTGGCACCAAACCTACTGGCCTGATGAAGTCTCTGTGGGCTAGCACAGGGAGTTCTCCATATCTGAATGCCGGAGACCTGGGCAACTTCAGACCAATTAATTGTAAAGGTCATAATTTCAGTATTTTGGCTCTTTTCTTTCTGAGAAAAGACCCTTGCTGTTAAAGAAATAAGTAACTTAACATAATATTTGTGTTGCACTAATGTGATTTGTTATGTGTGAGAATTATTCTTCTCAATAAAACTTTATCAAAAACCTGCGCCTTTGAAACACTCTAGGCATTTTTGGGGCTGGCTTCTGGAGAGGAGGCTGTGGAGCGTATCTGCAGGTGACTCCTTGCAAGCTCCCAGCAGCAGCACCCTTCCCAAGGGGGAAGCTCCCCTGGCAGAGGTGTCCCCAAGGAAGGATGAGGCTCTCTGGCACTAAAAGATCCTTGTTGTGGGGACCAGCACACTGTAGGAGAGCTTCAAAAGGACTTTACCTGAGTGGCAGGACAAAAGCCATAAGATTAAGCCAACAAAACTCCCTCAGGAAAAGGAGGATCCTTTCTTGTGTCCAGACAAGTCAGGTCCCTAGACATGGTGGAAAGATGCGACAACCAACCACAAGTTGTTGGGGCTGGTGTGGGACAGATCAAACGCCCTGAAAGCACAGGGGGCTGGAAGGTTTTCTATCCATTCCTGGCACCCTCCAATCTCATCTCCTGCTTTTAGGCATGATCCCCTCCAGTAGCATCATCAGCAGAAGAAAAGCTTTGGCCTGATGCATCAGCCATCCAGGGGCATGAACCCAAATAAACAAACCAAACAAAATTCACTTTGTGTCTTGCCCGCTTCCTAGCCAACACAGGATGGCCAGGATTTCTGCAGCAGACTGCATGGGGCCAACTGAGCAGCGGCAATGGCATGATGGGGGATGCAGAGACCCCTTCATGCGTTGTTTCTCATGCAGAGCAGGGGGTTGGGACAACAGGGTCTTTATTTTAGGGAGGACTTGGGATTTGTTGGGGATGTGGACTAAGGGGAAGGGCAATAGCTCTGTGCCTGTAACTGGACAGCCAGGGATGGGGTATTGATTCTCCTCACCCCAAAAGTTCTTCCAGCTGCTGGTGAGTAAAACAACATCCAAAGAAAAGAAAGGAAAAAAAAAAAAAAGGGCACACTGTCTTTTCAAAACTCTTTTCCAGACTTGGATATTCTCATCACCTGATTATTGTCATGTCTCTTCCAACCTGGGCTCCTGGTGGGGTTGGACCGCAGCGTGAGTTCAGGAGGGGTGTCCTCAGGGTTCACCCTGCCTCCCCCCAGTGCCTTACAGCTGGGTGGCTGTCACCTCGCAAAGGTCATCCAGGGGGACCATCAGCACATCCCATGCAGAAGAGCTGGGCTCGGCTGGCAGGTAGGACTTGTCCCATCCCTCCTCTTCTTCTCCCTTTTCCTTGTGCAGGTTAAAGACGAGCTTCAGCTTCTCCGGATGCATGGAGTTCAGGATGATGACACTCAACCCCAGCAGCAGGCACAGCAGCCCTGTAACACACAGCATGGGGAGATACGTTAGCACCTCCCTCCCGCTGTGTTCCAGCCCCATCCAGAACTGGATTTGACATCATGTGGCGTCACCCAGGAAGTCAAGGGAAGGTGTTATTTCCCTCTCCACATCTGGACTCTGACATCTGTTTGGACTCCCCAGTACAAAAGAGAGGCCAATGAACTGGGGCAGATGGCCAAGAGAGCTGGGACTGGAGCCTACCAGGTATGGGGAAAGGCTGGAGGGACTGGGCTTGTTTAGCCTGAAAAAGAAGAGTCTATAGCAGGATCTAATTGCCATCTTCTGCCAGTGAAAGAGAGGCAGCCTTCTCCTCAGAGGTGCACAGTTGCAACATGGGAAATTCTGGTTTGATAAAAGAAAATAATTGCTGCCTGTACTCCCAGGGCAGCTGTGGGACATGTCCTGAAAGGCAGGAGGGATGTCTAGCCATGGGGACATCCACCACAAGACTAAACAAGGCTGATGTGGCTTTGAGGTTAGCCTTGGTCTGGACAAGGCTAAGAGAAACACCACGGAGGTCTTTCCTGATTTGGTGTTTCACAACTTGGGGCACACCTCCATGCAGATACCCTGGGCATTCAGATCTCCTGGCTGCTCAGCTCTTTTTCTCTCAGTCTCAATGATGCTATCCTAAATTCTTGTATGTAATTTTAAAAAATAATCATTTTCCATTACCAGCCTTGGAGACAGAAGGGATGAGGTGCTGTTGGGGCATCACCGAGCATCATTGCTGCAGGGGCAGAGAAGAAAAGCCCCAGGGGCAAGCTGAGCTCTCACCTGTTGCTAACGTCAGCCAAAAGGATCCACCATAGTCTGTTTTCAGGGAAGCTGGGCCAAACTGGATGGGACACTTCAGAGTGTTCCTCGCAGTGAAGAAGAAAAGCAGCGAGAAAAGCATCAGCGCAGCAGTGAGCAGGAGCATGTAGCCGCCGTAGAGGAGGATGGGCACGGAGAACAACAGGATGGAAATGAGCCACGTGCAAAAGGCCATCCTGTGAAAGGACCACAAAGAGTAAAAAGCGTCATATTTGGAGCCTGTTCTTAGGATCTCCTCTCCACATCCTGCAGGATACAGCCCCGGGAAACCTGCTCTAGCTGGCCTTGCTTGAGCAGGTGGACTGGACAGGCTGATCTAAGGAGGTCCCTTCCACCCCAAATGACTCTCTAACTGCATGAATGGTGAAACTGTGGGACAGGTTCTGCAGTGGTGGGAAGGGATCTCCATACCTAGGGACATTCATCTGATGCCCAAGCAGCTTGATATGGCATTGACATCAGCCCTGCTCTGGGCAGGGGACTGGAGTAGAAACCTCTGGAGGTCCCTCCAAACTAGTTCTGTCTCTGACTCTTGTGGTCCTTCACAACTGGCTACCCCCAGTCCGTTCCCACCTGTTCAAAGGGAGAATGGCAACAAGGGAGACCTTTCTTTGGAAAGCTGAACAATGAGCCGTGCCCACATCTGATTCAGCACCGGGAGTGAACCCAGCCTTATGGCTGACCTCTTGCTCTAACTTACCACAGTGTGAGGGATGCGTAGTGACCGGAGATGCGGTACTGCCTGTGCACACCGCAGGGGCTCTGTGTGGTGAACTTCTCTGCCACGTAGAGGATGGGGCTGGGGGGCACCCGCTCTGTGTGGTGAACTTCTCTGCCACGTAGAGGAGGGGGCTGGGCAGCCCCTTCTCCAGCCCTTCGCTGTAGCTGCGGTCGTAGTCTGCATCGAAGCTCCAGGCAAAGTGCTCGTTGTAGTCAATGGTCTCGTTGATCTGATTCACTGGGTTTCCTGCCGGAGGGAGAAGACTAAGTACTTTTCTCAGCCTTCAAGGCAGCTCCAAGACCTCCTAGTGTGGGAGTTTGAGATCCCACAGCCCCACTACCCAGGTGTACAGCTGGAAAACTGACACCCAATCCCCTCCCTGTCATGGTATGCACTCACCCACCAGTGTGACGTTCACCCCTGCCAAGCCAATGTGCAGCCCAATGTCCGCGTTCACCAGGGCACGGCTGAAAGACTTGTAGGAGGTGTTTGCTGTCACCCAGCCAGTCTCCCAGTCCCCCGTGAACTGGATGGCTGTGAAGAGTTCAAAGGTTAGTCATGGCCTAGCAGAAAGACATCTAGTGCTGGAAGCACCTGCCACGATGGTCACCCTGGCCTGAGCATCATCTACCCCCCATCCCAAAGTCAAGGCCTGGGTTGCGAGCCTCAAGAAGCAGAAGCCTTGTATGTCCTTCCCCAACATCGACCCTGACCTGTGACCCTTACAGCCCCACTTGGGTTGGTTTCTCCCCAGACCAGTGCAGTTCCTAGCCCTAGAGGCAATGGGGGTGATGTGTGGGCACTGTCCAGCTACTGGTCCTTATCTAAGCACCTGCCAATTTGTTTGGGTCCCCTGGCCGTTGGTGGTGGGCTTTTGGTGACTGCCCTGGAGGTGGTCCTGCACATACAACCATCAGTCTTTGGAGAGGAGACAGATGGGTGCTTGCACTTCCCATCACTTGCTGGGGCCATGTCCCAGGCACAGACAGGGGTCAGTCCTCCCCATAAATTCATCCTGCAGGCTGGACTTGGTGCTTGGCTACTCTGTTCATCCTCCCTCATCTTGCTCCTCCATCTCCTGTGTCTTGGGCATCCTTCAGCTTCCCTCCCAGGACACCAGTACTCACTGAGGATCACTGCTCCCACGAAGAGGCCCATCACCACCCGCAGGAACCA